CGATTGACCCCCGATTATTCACGATAATCGGAAAAGAAGAAGTGAGAATGATCGGCAGAACTCATTCGTGACACACTGCCCCACAAGTCCCTGCCTCATAAAGCAACAAAGTTACCCCAAAGAATCCTGTGAAGAAGTGCCCAGAAAAGACCCTGAAAAAGTGTTAATAAGGAGTAAAAGTGGAAGAAACCCTTTGAAGAGAACTATTCTAGAATGCTGTGTAAATATTGTGTAAGCGGGACAATTAATGAAGAAGAAAGAGTGAGAAGGACTAAATTTTGTATGTGAGAGGAACTATTGAGGAAGAGAGAAATATTGCGTGGAAGTGTAAGGAAAGGAATGTATTGTGAGGAAAGGATATTATTGTGAGGTACTCGTGTGCGAGGAGAGAGAAGGAAGGGAGGAGGACAAACCCCGAGGAAAACCGAGAGGATTTTGAGGACACCATTCCCCGTGAGTGCCCCATTTTTTATTCCCTGCCCCAACGAATTTCCCTGACCGTGTTAATTTCCCCCCAACGGTGAGCCTCCAGTAAATTCATGTTAGTTGTAAATTAAGCCCCCTATTAATGATTACCTTTTCAGTCGGCCCTCCTCACTTCTCCCATTTTTTCCAGAGTTAGAGTCACCCCCTCTTTTTATTATATAATATTTTGCGTAGCCGCAAGTGAGTTGGCCTTACCCCCCACACTCGAATTATTAGTCAAAAGGCCCGACTTATTTTTGTGTTAATATTGTGGTATGAGATCAGAATACAGATAGTCAATTTATAAGTCCCCCAGAGTAATCATTTCAACCCCCCCCCCCTTTTATTATTTCAGGTCCTCCCGTAAATTATAATCAATTTCCTTAATTTTTCAGAATATCGTAAATTCCCCAAGATCGTGTCTTTGCCGGGAATTATTATATTTCAATTCCCCGGCCAAGGTCACAATACATTGTGACGAGGCACTTTTATTTCAGCCCCTCCCCTGCCCCCTAATAATAACTTTTTGTTAGTTTGAAGTAAGGTGACCGAAATAAATAGACGAGGTTATAAAACCTGTCATCGTTGGCTCCTACTCCCAACAATAGTCATTCCCCTTGCCCCGCGCCCTCCCCTGCCACTACACTCACGCCGCGAACAACACCATCGACGAGAAAAGGAGGAACCCCCCCCCCCCCCAAACCCCCCGCCGTTCTCGCCACCACACTCGCCGACGGAAGGAACGGAAACCACCACTTCTACGTCACAGGCCACGTGACCCCGGAAGAGAAGGAAATCCCGGAACGATTAATAATTAGGACGAGGACACCCGATGACGAGTGTTGACCCCGATTATTACCGATAATCGGGGAAGAATGACCAGCTTGAGAAAACCCCCACATAATAGCGAAGAATGTCGGGTATGTCCAGCCGAAGTATCGATTATGCGAGGTCACCACAATAAAAGGGAATACCTGGCAGATATTCAAGCGGCTGTCATTAAGGCCTGAGAGGCGTTAAGGAGTGATCATCAAGGGGACAACACTTGGAAACCACGAATCATCTAAAAAAAAGAGGGGCACACTTGCTCAAAGACACGACTAATCACATCTTTTCTTTCCTCTAGTAAATCTGGGGCCCTACAACTTAAACAACCCTCCAATGATAACCGCTAATGGGAGCTGCCCCAAAGAATTAAAAATGTCGGCAACTTAGAAATGGACCACGTCAACCATGGGTTCGCCGATATCGCCAAAAGAGAAGGCAGGCCAATAGTGGTACATCTGCCACGAGTACCAGATGATTTCTTGTTGTCCAAACGAGGGGACATTTCCAGCCTTAAAGGGTCCATTTGAAACGTGAGTCTTCTAATGAACAATAGTTATCCAGCGTCAAACGAGGCGTAAAATTTATGGGCCATGAACATCAGAAAAATGGGTAAACGTGCCACTTTTGACATTAGAAGAACATTAATTAGAGAGAGGCCAATGCGTGCTCGTCCCGTCCTTTACTCAAAAACTTCTCCCGCACCTGGGGAAATGGGGGTAACATCAGAGTGAGGGTAGATTGCCCAGGAATATCTCTTTTGAATACATTGTTAAACATATGAAGATGTAGTGGGTTATTCTTTTCTCCCACAATATATATTTAATGATGGATTAATTCTGGCTAACAATATTTATTGTTATAACAAAAGTAATACTCAAAATTGTTAACAACTATTAAAACTCTCTTTATAAAATGTCGTGGATAATGAAGCTACAGCTGTAGTGCGTCGATGCAGTTCCGGGGAGCTAACTTCTGCTTTCTTCCTCTCTTGCGCTGTGGTAGATGTTCCATGGGTTTGGCAATTTCCTGCCCCGATGTGGCTCCGTCGCTATTGTAGGTCTCGAGGTTATGATCAGAGCTGCGTGACGGAGTAGCCACATGTACTCCCCCCCAAGTGTCTTGCTCCGGCAATCTGAAAGACACAGATTTATTAACTTTACGGCTATAAGTCTTTGTCGGTTTTTCCAGAGATGATCCCCAGTCCTCAGGTTGTTCAGACCGGTGCGAGTTCTTGATTTCTCGAGATTCTGTTGTGTTTGGATCTTCTTTGACAATGTAGGCAGGCTTCAATCTTTCCACCGAAATTGTTTTCAATTGTCCATCTACGTCCAGTTTGAAGACTCTATCGTCGATCCTTTTGAGATCCTTTTGCCTTGACGTGATCACAAGGTATAAATGCGTGTGAGCACGTATACAAATTTTTGAGTCGATAAATCCTGGTGTTTGAGTGATGGGCAGCCGGTGTAGGGCGAAGTCCTCGCATGAACTCTCTATGCTTCTTAAGGAACATCTTTGGATTAGGAGGGTCTTCCTGGATGAAGAATTCGGTTAGTAAACGAAGACTGGTACCAAAAAGGAGATCAGCTGGTGTAGTCTGGAAGTCTTCCTTAAAGCTGGTCCGAAGTCCAAGAAGAACGGTTGTTAGTATTTCAGTCCATGGTTTGGGTGAACACATGAGTGCTGCCTTCAAGGTTCGATGCCAACGCTCGATCATGCCGTTCGATGCAGGATGATAGGGCGTTGTTCTAACTCTGCAGGCTCCAATGAAGTTGGTAAGGGCCTCAAACAATTCTGATTCGAATGGAGAACCCTGGTCTGTTATAATCGTCAAAGGTGTTCCGAATAATGAAATCCAGTGATCAAATAGTGCTGTGACCACAGTGTCTACTGTCATGCCACGAAGAGGAACGGCAACCGGCCACCTGGAAAAACGATCGATTATTGTGAGACAATAACGAAAGTTTTTTACCTCTGGTAATATGATGAGGTCAAGGTGGATGTAGTTGAAGCGGTTGTCCGGGACATGAATTTCCTTGGGTGGTAGTCTGTTGTGTCGATGTATCTTCGATTTTTGGCATGGCAGACATTCTCGTGACCAGTTCAGAGCGTCTTTTTTAATGTCTAGCCAGATGTATTTTTGTCGTAGGTGGTGAGACGTTGTTTTGCCACTTGGGTGGGCCAGACCATGAACACTGTCAAACGCTTGTTTGCGAAGAGTGGCTGGGATGTATGGCCTGACTACTCCAGATGAAATATCACAAAGGATGCTGACACCTGATTCCAATGTGAGTTTTTGCAGGTTGAGTGAGAAGTTGCTGGCAATCAGAGCCGACAATTCCTCATCAAGTTCTTGCTGCTGTTGTATAGTGCGAGAATTCAGTGGTGTTGGCATGTTGACCGTACTGATGGCGCTGATCCTAGAGACAGCATCAGCTACAATATTATCCTCACCCTTGATATAAACGATGTCGGTTGAGAATTGAGAGATGTAATCTAACTCTCTCAATTGTCAATGAAAAGCTTTCTTCAGCTTTTGTTGGAAAGCGTAGGTCATCAGTCTTGATAATAAACTGACGGCACTCCAGTAGATGTTTGAAATGTTTGATTGCGGAGAAGATTCCCAGAAGTTCACGATCATACGTGGAGTATCTGATCTCTGTGTCACTCAGACTTTCTCGAAAAGAATCCAACTGGTTTTGTTGTTTAGTCCTGAATTTGTTCTAATACAGCTCCAATAGCTGTTGTCGAGGCATCTGTTGGCAGAATGAGAGGCGCAGTAGGTGATAAGTAAGCTGTAAGGGTAATAGAAGCTAGGTTCCGCTTGCACTTGTCAAATGCCTGCTCCCCCTCAGTGGTCCAATTGATCTTTGTTTTATGATTCTTCTTCTGAGTGTTTTTTAAGTAAGAATTTAGAAGTACTTGCTGCTACGTGGGGAAGGACAATGCGATAGAAGTTTAACATTTCCAAGAATCTGCGAAGTTCTATGACTGTGACAGGTTTTGGATAATTGGTGATGTCATCCACACGCTTCGTACAACGTCGATAGCCCTCAGCAGGCATGGTGTAACCCAGAAAGTTAATTTCAGACTGTCCAAGTACGCTTTTGTCCACATTGATAGTAAGAGCCTGCTCATGTAACTTTCTAAAAATTATTCTGAGATGTTTCTTGTGCTCTTCGGGCGTTGCTGACATTATCAGAATGTCGTCAATGTAGACAAAAACAAAGTCCAGATCTCTAAATATGGAGTCAATGATTCTCTGGAATGTTTGTGTTGCATTACGGAGTCCAAATGGCATAACGAGGTACTCGAAAAGACCCCAAGGTGTGGTGATAGCCGTCTTCTCGATGTCATCCTTGTGCATTGCTATTTGGTGATATGCAGGTGCTAGGTTCAAAGTAGAAAATAACTTTTTGCCAAATAAAAGTGGAAAGAGGTCTTGGATGAGAGGTGGAGAGTATTTGTCTGGTTTTGTCAAGGCATTTAACTTGCGATCATCTCCACAAAGCCGCCTGCAATTTGATGCCTTCTCGGTAAGGTGAATTGGACTGGCCCATAGACTGCTGGATGGTCTGAGAATGTTCGATTCCAACAGAATATTGATCTCATTTTTGGCTACTATGGCTTTTTTCCCAGCCAATTTACGAGGACGTTCGACGACTGCTGGTCCGGTAGTGATAATCTTATGTGCAAAGCAGGATTTTTGTGAAATTGGTGTGCGTGATGGTTTAGTGATCTCTATAAATTTTTGCAGTAAATCTCGGTACTTGTGATTAAAACTTAGTGTTGATATCGCGTAGAGTGACGTCCGGTAAACTTCACCTTTTGAAGTGCGTGAAGTGATGGAGTCAATGACCTGTTGATTATGTAAGTCAGTCAACCATGAATAGTCGGACAGAAAATCCGCTCCTACAATTGCTGATTCTACGTCAGCAAGGAGGAACGTCCACGTAAGTTTTCTCCTCAAATTGAAGTCCAACCTGAGTACTTTGTTTCCGTATGTATGGATTACCGAGGAATTAGCAGCATAGAGATTAAATACATCGCGTTTAGGGTTGGCGGCGAAATAATTCACAGGAAGCACTGAGACAATTGATCCAGAGACAATTAAAAAATTCTGTCCAGTGAATGTGTCCATCATGTGCAATCTCTTCTGTGTAGGAATGTTTTGGTTGATGCTGTCGTCAACGGAATTTATGGACGACAGCTTCATTAGTTTCCCGTCTGTTTAGTCCTCGCACTGGCTGAGCAGGGTTCGATGCATCGATTCGCCTTCTCGCCGAATTTCCGGTGGTACAAGCATACTCCCAAACGATTGGAGTTGTTCGCAGAATTGACATTAATTGTTTTCGACCTGGACCGTAAGCGATGATGTGTAGGACTTATGCTGTTGATTCTGGCTGTCAGCTCACTGAACCCTCGAACCAGTGTCTCGAATCTTTCGTTCAACTTTTGTACTTGTTCTTCCACAGTAGAACTGGAGGTGGTATTGCGAGTGTGTGTAGCGATAACTGTGTGTCCAGAAGTTACGTCGTTAACATTGTCTGCTAACGTGGCCATTTTATCTACATCGAGCTCATCTGTTGTGGATAGAATGCTGCGTAATGTGATTGGGAGATGGTTCAACCAGAGTGTACGTATCATTTCATCCGTGAGACAACCAGCAGAGAGATTTTTCATCTCTCTGAGGAGTTCAGAGGGCTTCCTGGTGCCGAGCTCCAATCCTGTGAGAAGCTTATGTAATTGTTTTTCTTTGAAATCAGTAAATCTTTCAATAAGTTTATCTCTGATATTTTTGTACTTATCTGCTTCGGGAGGGTGTCTGATAATATCCGATACCTGTCTGAGGCAGTCGGCGTCCAAAGCAGAAACCACGTGGAAATATTTGGTACTATCGACTGTGATTTTCTTCGTGCAAAAATGAGCTTCGGCATGAATAAACCATAGATCTGGGTTGGTTTTCCAGAATCCTGGTAATTTAATTTGGTTGATGGTGGCCAGAGTCTCGGTAGGTACTGTGTTACCCTGTGTCTGAAATGGTAAAATACCTGGCTGGGAGTGTGTACCTGGGATCAAACACGTGCCTTCTGTTTGGAGATGTTGGAGACGTTGTTGGACTTCATCAATTACTAGTTGCTGTTGCTGTAAACGAGCTTCCTGACTTCCAAGGTCTGCGTCATTATTTCCCGAACGTGTTGGAGAATGTTTAATCGTCATCTTAACGGCTTGCGTCGATTGAAGGAGTCAGATTTGCCGTCGTTCGTTTTGGAGCAACGTGGTGACTTTGGAGTTACCTTTTTAAATCCACCTGCATCACGTCGGGGTCACCAATGTAGTGGGTTATACTTTTCTCCCACAATATATATTTAAAGATGGATTAATTCTGGCTAACAATACTTATTGTTATAACAAAATAATACTCAAAATAGTTAACAACTATTAAAATTCTCTTTATCAAATGTCGTGGATAAGGAAGCTACAGCTGTAGTGCGTCGATGCAGTTCTGAGGAGCTAACTTCTGCTTTCTTCCTCGTTTGCGCTGTGGTAGATGTTCCATGGGTTTGGCAGTGTTCTGCCCCGATGTGGCTCCATCGGTATTGTAGGTCTCGAGGTTATGATCAGAGCTACGTGACGGAGTAGCCACAAAGATGCCTCCCACCATGCCTCAAAAAACGTTGGATGACGAAATATCAAAATACCAACGGTCGTAGGGGAGTCAGGCTTGAAAAGTATCGAAAGGGCGGTTGTTCGCCAAATAAAGTCAATTTCAATTCAATTTTCAAATCGAAATCTTCCAGTGGTATCCTGCTCGTCATCCAGTTTACTCTTCAAGACCTGTCTACAAGGGAGCAACTCTGCAGGACCCCCCTGTGACGTCACCACTGGGCATAGTCCGAGCGTACCACTCGACTCTCCTTGCAACCCCAGATTGAGTGCGCAACTTTAATGACAACCAAGGGGTCCAAAGTAAAATTTCGACTCTTGGTTATCAACGAGGGGTCTTGCTTATTAGCAAAGCTGACCCTTCACGATCCGTCTGTTGGGAAGCAGCTCTGCAGCACCGCTCACTCTCATCGCCACTAGTTCGAGTACACAACTCGATTTTCTGCACTGTGTCAGATCGACTGCATTTCTTCAAGTCAGTACCGACCTGGTAAATCGCTCAGCGTACAACTGAGCTCATCCTGAGTATACAGCTCAGGGAATCTTCTCATCAAGCCAACACCGATCTGGTGAATCTATCAGTGTACAACTGAGTTGATCCCAAGCGTTCAGCCGATGATATTTCTCCAACCCAGCACCGACCGGATAAATTACTCAGCGTACAACTGAGTATACCCCGAGTGTGCAGCTCTGAGATGTTTCTACGCCTAGCAACATAAAGCTAGAGAACAACCAAGTTTTACCTGAGTGGATAATCCAGGCCTATCAACACCGCCAACACCTTCTGAGTCATCACATCACCATCACCAGCGCTAAAGAAGCGTGTTTGAGCATTTTCAACTCCATCCGTATGAGAGGATTTAGCATACTTTTGAAGTTCTTCGAAATCCACTGCGAAGAGGAAACACCAAGAGATCGCCGCTTCCCTCCTGTCGTTTATTTCTACAACCGTAAGTCGAAAAAACAAACCAACAACATTCACACTATTCTCTCCTACACTTTCCCATCTCTATCCCTGGTTTTTATCTTGGACTTTTCTGTCTCCCAAGTAAAGTGTAATAAATTTAAAATCTATTTGAAGGGAAACTTAAGGGTATCTTTCTCTTAGTGTGCTAATTTCCCATATTATAACCATTGTGTACTTCGGTACTCAAAGTAGGCCCACTAAGTGAGATTTATAAGATCCTTTCTCCTTCGGACACTACCTGTCGGGATTAGTTACCGTCAACTCACCTGACGGGTTCACCTTTTCCGCAACATAGACAAGGAAGAAGAGGATGCAAGAATAGATACCCTCCACCCCAGTTTGGTCCCTGAGACGGCTCTGTGCAACGCACATCGAAGCCTTCTAACCCCCCAAACCAGCCATAGTACGAGGACCCCAAAAAAAAAACAACAAGAACGACCACACCCACCACCCTTCTACACGGTCTGCTTGAGCAATCCATTGGAACCGGTCTTGCTGCCTTGTGGACACTTGATCACCTATAAAACATCCGCCACCCACCAAAAATTTTCAATAAATAAATAATTCCTCATAAAGAAATAAAAAATATATTTGTCATAAACAAGAAGGGCGAGTATCCTCAAAATGTATATATTTTTTAGCCCTATCATTACCCACGCAGATATTCGTGGTAAAATCTTTTGTTTTTTTTTTCACACGAACACGCCAAGCCAACTTCGTAATCTTGTCGGGAAACTTAGGGAAATCCATTACCTATGTTC